TATATATATATATATATATATATAGGGACTCTAACCCATGATCCATCTACGACATCGTATTCGGAAACTTATGAAAATAGTTCAATTTGAATACATGAAAATTTTAAAATGATTCTATGAGTTAATTAATTTGTTTTTGTTCCTTTTTATTGAAAGCTCTAAAATGATAAGGGATTCTCCACAATTTTCATTTTACATCGTAAACAAAATTTAATAACAAATAATAATATCCTATAATGATGGTTTGGTTAACAAAATATGAAGGTAATAGGAAGGAAAATATGTTTCCATTTCAAAAAGCATAGTTACTAGTACGTAGTTACTCTAAACTCATAGTTTCATAGTTACTAGTTACTCTAAGCATAGTTCAATAGGGGATGGTCTTATATAATGCTGATGTCATTTTTAATATATCTTGTGTCATAATACAAAACAAAATTCGTATATACGGTTCTTGGCCAAATTATTAGACATACTGTAAGATTTCTATGTAAAATCTTAATTATCAGGTACGGCTTTATCGCTAATTGCACGAGTTTATAGGCAATACTCTTATATTTAAACATACATGCAATGGATTTTTATTCGGGAGATTTTTTAAAAACTTCCCATTTGTATTTATGTTTAACGTATTGCATTACAATGTTAACCCATTGATAAACGAAAGTAAACAAGTGCAAACAGCCGCGTAAAAACAACAAAGCTGTGTATAGTGTATCAGCTGATAATTAAGAATTTACATGGAATCTTATAGTGAGTCTCATAATTTGTCCAGGGACTGTAGTATGAAATGTGCTAAATGAAAGCGCAAATTTAAAGAAGTGTGTTATCTGTACATTTAAGCCCTATTGACTCATTCAGGTTTCATTTCAGTTCATATTCAAGATCTTCTCACTCGAAGATGTCTTCATTTCAAAAAGTGCATTTCAAAGTTAAAGTTCATCTCAGTGGTTCAAAACAAAATGCCTTGAACCATTAACATTGAAACAAGATGACCGCGGTATCCATTGCACCGTCACACTTGGATAGAGTGCTGTTGTCGGTGGGTGCACCCGGAAAGTATCACCTTCTGGTAGCTTTTCTCCTCAGTTGCATGCAGTTGCCGGTATCATTTAGCGACCACCTTCTGACATTCTACATGGCCACGCCGAGACACAGATGTAGAGCGGAATCGAATTTGACTCTGGGAGATTACGATTTAAGGCCGATTATCACTGTGGCTGGCAAGCAACAGTATTCTGCGTGTGAGTTGTATGCCGATCCACTCGACCACTCGAAAGGTACCAAGACTTGTGACGATGGTTGGGAATTCCTCATGCCAAAAGGAGAATCGACCGTTGTCACAGAGGTAAGTTGTTTTTAAAAATATTTATGGCTATGTCTTCTAAACCGCAGTGCCAGCAAAGAAACCGTGGGTGGACGTCAAACTAATTTACAGTAAAGCTCTCAACTTAGAGAGCTGGTTGTTGGACCAACAAAGCGGAAGAGAATCAAATGATGTGAATAAAATTGTTGTAGTAGTTCACTTACGCCACACCAGAACAGGGGCCACGAAATTCTGGTGTTGGTAGGGCACTGGGCTCATGTCCAAGAGCTCGTGAGTTCGATCTCGGCCGGCTGAAAACTCACCGTGTAGTAAATGGTGACTGATGCACATTCATTCTGTCGAGTCGCAAAGTCCTCCATGTTTCCATATCAAATCAATACAACTGGGGGTACTGATCCAGGAGTATCCTTGTCTCCTGGATTGGATTCAAAATGACAAGGCTACGGAGTTGAACATTAGTAGTCGTAAACCCAAACATTGGGTCTGCTGTTCAGCGACACGAATGCACTAGAGCTGCACAATGGGCTATTGGAGACCATCTGGGAAACGTCCCTGAGGATGATCCGAAGACATGCTATCACCATTTTGATCCTAAGCAGAGGGGATGGCACCCCCGCTTCGGTAACGAGGCGATCCTCACACAAAGTCGAGAGCCGCTCACCCTCGGTCCCTACGCAGACTGATCCAAGTGGTCCCATTGACCAGTAGTCAGTGATGCTTGACTTGGGTGATCTGCTGGGAACAGTGTCTTAACGAGACAAATAAAGTTGTACTCAATGAAACTCTTCAGAATTTAAATGTTTATTTATTTTCATCAGAGAATCGTTTTGTCCTGATTTCATAAATTGGATATCTACTCGCGTAAAACATTTTTCAAGCAGTTTCATCCACCTTAACTTCCTTTCTAACAACTACATTTTACGTACGGAAAAGGTACATTTTACTACTAGAAGAACCACGTTATTTAATTGCCCTTTATGTGACTAAATCCATACACTGGTGCTAAGAGAATTTGCAGATCGAACAACTGGACTGATTTTAGTGGAATTTGATATTCGCATACACTATAAAACAATTATAATTCACACGCATGATCGTTCGTCGGAAGATAAGGAGTCGGAAGGTTGATAAACTGCCTCATTTCAAGTATGAAATCACGCTGCAAGGCCTGTAAGAGGGGATTACTCCATTTTTGTTTCATCCGCTGTTTCACACCTTCCCACTCTAACGAGTGTTACACATGCGTGTGTATTACAATTGTTGAATGTAGTGTGCAGGTACACACATCAAATTTTATTAAAATCAATGCTGTAGTTCGATAAGTTCTCCTCATTTCTTACAACAGTGTAATATTTACGTCGTCTCGTAGCACTATTCTTCCATAGATCTCCCTTATGAATTATAATTTCAAAACAAGCAAATGTACAATGTTCCGCATTGAATTTGATATCATCATTAGACTCATTCTAGATCCAAATTGTAGAAAGTTTACTAAAAATAGTTTCTAATTTGTAAAGGCGTGGAAGCAATTCTTGTATGAGCCATACTGTTAGAATTTTTATTCTAAAATTACGGTAAAATAGCCGACAGCAGTCTGTCAATCCGATGAACGGTAAAGAATATTTTTTACCTTTGTGATTTTGAAACCGTTTACAACTAGTATGGCCATAAAACCACGAATACAAAAACCAGACATTTTTTTAAAAAACCATTTACAACTAGCATGGTTTTAAACTGTAAAACAGAAATTTAAAAACTGAAGCTTTTCATTAGGGAAAAGGGCAGGACAATAGAAACTTTTCATGTGCTGAAAGTTGTCAACGCTGGGACATATTTGCCCTCTCGGCTACAACATGACCGCAATTGCAAGCATAAGTTGATTCCAGATGGGTCCGCGATTTCTTAAATCGAATAAAAGATTAGATCAGAGTTGTTGCGTAGACTGCTATGGAACTGGTATTAAAACTTATGCCTTCTTTGGCTCAATATTTTTTTATATAAAACAACAGAGGCTGACACGATGTTAAAATTAATAGAAAAGTATGAAGAGCAAATAATACGTCGGTAATATTCTTAATAGCTGGAGAAATCTTGTAAATTTTTGCTTTTATTTACTAGAGAACGTCTTACGTAAAAAAAAAATGAACGCATTAATTTTGCGACGATGTGTTTGATTATATATATTAAAACTTGTTGAGATATAGTTGTATGTTCGTATCGGTGAAGCCGTTGAATGATAGGCAGAGATATTCATTAAATTGGTGACATTCAGCAGTCAGTTTTATTTGAAAATTTCGAAATTAGTAAGTTAATTATAAAACAAGTAATACAAAGAAAAATGTAAGTTCAATTCCTACCTAGGTCAATGAAGAAAAATTTCATTTTAGTTACTTTTTATTAAATAATTTAAAACATTTTCACCCCTATAAAACTCAAATGAATGAATTCATATTTGAAAAAACTGCCATATGAAACTGAAATGAAGTAAATTTATTGAATGACTTAAACTTAATGAATTTGAACAAGATATAGGAATATGTATAGGGAGAGAGTGTGAACCAATAGTAGGAATTGAAGAAAAGGTTCGTGGTATCAGTATCAATTGGGTGACGTGGACCACACGTGCTACCACGTTCATTGAAATTATATGACACAGCGAATATAAAATAATGAAATATTTAAATGCTCGCAATAAACTATTTTTTGCTCAAATAGAGCTATAAGTTAGAAATGATCAGTGATGTTATTTCTAAAATATGTGAAAAAACTGAATCACTTATAGTAAAATTTAAAACAATGACTAACGCTTAATCCAGGGGTACCCAACCTTTTTGTACCTAAGAGCAAATACCAGAATATCGGTCGAATGGCGGGCACCTTTTATTTTTTCAAGATAAATTTATAGTTGGTAGACATGGGAAATAATATACACTGCATGTAATGCACAAAAAATTTAATTTAACACATGAATATAATTAGTATTAATATCCTTGAGTAAAATAAATTATTACGAATTGCTTGAAAAACATACAAAGTATAAGAGTTCATATGTTCAATTCATGAGTGGTCAGTTATATTTTGCTTTGTGCTTATATCGGTGGGAATGGAGATCCTTTTCCTGACGATTTCTATTTTGGTTAGGTTTATCATCCATATTGAGAAAGCAAATACAAATTACATAACATTTTACGGGAAAATTGAAAATGGAAGTATTTTATTGTTGGGCACAAGCAGCGGGCGCACCTAAACCGATCGAAGGGCGCCATGGTGCCCGCGGGCATAGGGTTGGGGACCCCTGGGCTTAATCCTTTCGAAAATTCCATTTCGAGTTTTTCGCGCATCCCTATTGAATGAATAGATTAATATTTGCAAAAACTGTATTAACATAAAAAAAAAAGTGTATTTAGACTTGAGTGAATGAATAAAAAGTATTTTATGAACGATTTGAAGAAGATATATAGGAAGAGTGTGAATTGAAAATATATGAGTCATTGGAACGAAACTGAATAAAGTGTATTTTCATGTAGTGGGAGCTGGTTTGCGAGTATGAATCTCTGTCGGTTCTCTTACCTTACATGAGAACTGTTGCCGGAATGATTGGAGCATTGGTGAGCGGAAGGCTAGCAGACAAGTACGGACGGAAGTATGTACTCCTTCTGTCTTTGCTCTTCCACACCAGTTTCGGAATATTTCTTCACTTCCTTCCACTTTACGGAGTGTTTAGTGCAGTCTTCACTATGCAAGCATTTCTCATATCGGTAAGTAACTCATTTTTAAGCCTTTCTTTTTAAATGCTCCCTTAAAATATCAGAAAAGATCTTCATTGCACGACCGACAATGGTCACTCACTCACCGACACGATAGCGATTATGTCCGACGAGGTAATCAAATGTCGGTTAAGCATATATATATATGTTTCTCTTCAAATCGTTTTATTTGTTGTTCTATCTCTCTCCTCTTTTAATATCATTATTTTATTCTTTCAATCAATTTTAATCACGTCATTCTGCGCTGTGAGCAAAATATTGAATGCCTGAGCTAAAGAATATTTAATGCTTAGCTAATGAAATTTATCTGGATCTTTTTGTAGCTTATGAAAAAGCACATCTCTTTCAACGTATCTTGCTTCATTTATTTGGTGCACTCAAAAACGTTTCTGCACTGCTCGCTTCTTTCTTCCTAAATGAAATAAGTATCGAAGTTTGAGGAGACGATTATCATCGGGCATATATAAGGTTTGCAGGAAGAAAAAAAATCGCGACATAATACAAACAGCAAGAGGCCATCTCCGCGCTCTAAATTGAGACAACCCTTAAGGCGCGCCAAACGCAAACGGTGAATTCTTTTTAAGTCACTTACTTCGCTTTATCATCTGATATTATACCTTTCTCTACTCTAGCTAATTAAATCTATTGCAGCAAAATGTCTCAAAAAGGACTAACTATTCACTCAAAAGAGAGAAATATCATCAAAGTAATGAAACATTTAATGTAAAAAAAAAAAATTCACATAGAGATTGTGAAATAAATGTTTTTATCATACGATCGCCAAATAGCAACCTTATTCAGTCCCAAAAATAGTGAAATAGTATCGTGGGATACCAAGCGCCAACTCTTGGTAAACGAACTATACTAATGTAATTGCCCAAAACAAAGATATTTATTAAATATATAAAAACATAAAATCAAAAAACCATTTAATTAACTTTCAAAAACTGCTTGATTGCAGAACTAGTAAAATTTTCTGATCTAAAAATAATTTTATTTCTGTATCGGTGGAATATACTCATTGCAGGGTGTGCAGTGTTCATCTTATTTATTGTTGCTGGAAAACTTACCGACCCAATGGCAGAGTATAGCGGCCTTCTCCGTCGCCATGTTTCACGCATCAGGAGATATAATCCTCTCAACACTCACCTGGCTCATCAGGCATTGGAGATACATTCAACTCGTCCTATCAGCACCCGGTGTCATCGTCATTGGATACTTCTGGTAAGCCCATTTTCTACTTCATCTTATAACCGTACAGCCGACCCAATTTTTGGATATACGACTGCTAATGGTCAACTCCATAACCTTGTCATTTTGAACCCAATCCAGAAGACGAGGGAACTCCTGGATCGAGTATTGGGAAAAAATTTTGCCTTTTTGCTTGGAGGATTTTCTGATGGAGAAAAACCACGAAAATCTCCCGCGGTTGACCTGACGGCAAGGGGAACTCTAACCCATGATTCGTCTATCACTGAGGATATTTTGCACTGTGGTCGGTGCAAGCCGGATGCGGGATTCTTATCGACCCGCTATTGCTGGGATTCGAACCCGGTTCGCCTCATTGGAAGACGAATGCTTTATCCCTTGAGCCACCAGGGCTCAATAGAAGAAGCTATTGTAGCCGGTCGTAAAATTTCTTTTGCTAAATCCATCGTTTAGTTAACGAATTAGATGAGTGTTTCTAATCATTGCCCGCTGTTTTTAATCACGCACTCCTATCTAATATTTCTTCAAAGTTTCATGCTGAACAACATATCCCGACTGATGACGAGAAAAGCTGTTTCATAACTTTTTACATTACTAATACTGAGAACGCTAAAATAAAATTTCAAAGTTTTATTTTATTTTATATTTGCAATATGCAGTTTATTATTCAAAAATACATAAAAATCTCTACTTTTCGGTAGTTTTCGTGAAAGCGAGAATTGCAAACATTGAATGGTGAAAAATCAAACTAATTTTTTTCTTCTGTTTGTGCATAAACAAGTAATCTAAAAAAGTAAAAAATAAATTCTATTCCTACTTTGGTGAACAAAGACATTTTTTTTTTATTTTAGTCACTTTTTATAATTTTGTCTCTCATCTAAAACTAAAATGAATGATTTGATAAAACTGTATTAACATCATCCCCTACAAGTTTAAAGAAATATATTTGAACTTGAGTGGATCACTAAAAAGTATTTTATTAGCGATTGAAAATTTGAACAAGATGTTAGGTGGAGTATGAACTAATAGTAGGAATTGAAAGAAAAAAAACTTATACGAGGGTTGTAAATTAAATAGTGGCAACTAAACTCACAGAAGGACGGGCATGCGTAAATAGGGTATGGGTGCGGTGAGGTGGGGCTGTTGTCGATGTGTAGAGTGCAAAAAAAAGTCGATTAGCTTAGAAGGGTAGTTGTTGCGTGGCGTTAAAGTGAGGAGTTTCGTTTCCATCGCTCTAAAGCATGTTTTCAAAAGGTGATCAGCGGTCGTGGCTTACAATCGAGGTTGCCCGTGGCAAAAATGCAACAGAATGCTATCGAGGATTAGTGGAAGCCTTTGGAGCAAATGCTTTACCATATAGGACAGTAGCACGATGGATTCAAGCATCTCGTCTTTTTTCGTCATTAAGCCTTTTCACAACATGCTTTAGAGCGATGGAAACGAAACTCCTCACTTTAACGCCACGCAACAACTACCCTTCTAAGCAAATCGACTGTTTTTTGCACTCTACACATCGACAACAGCGCCACCTCACCGC